ACATGTTAATGCAAAAAACAATATGATTTTTGAAGTATTTTAATTACAGTATTTTTGAAGGTAAAGTGTAGTTATAGTGGGATGGGGCAGTAAAATGAAGTTTTCTAAGTGCTTTTTTTTGTCTTTTATGTTTACTTTATTAATACTTTTGTAAATCTAGGACACAAAGGGCACCCTAATCCTGGAAACACTCTCAGATGCTTAACAAAACTTTGGTTGTACTTCTGCTGTAACAAACTCCATCACCTGCTGGATTTACATGTGTATGAGCTGCATAATTGTGGGGGGTAAAGGAGGATTCTCTCCATGTGAGAACTGATGGAGTGTGTCATCTCCTTCTGTCCTTTGGATTTAGATGGTTTTAAGTGGTCAGAGAATGGCATGATTGATTGGTGCAGTGTGAACTCTCATGGAGAGGGAAAACAGGAAATGGCGAAACCTAGACAGAGACAAAGGAGCTTAATGAGGCTAATCCTTGACGATGCACACGAACACCTCAGCACTCCCTTCTCACCCCATCACGAGCTGTGTGTGTGTGTGTATGTGTGTGTGTTAAGTCTTGGCATAAATGCATTAGTAATACTGTAATTTATACGTATTATTATGTGAATCTTGGTGTTTTACCGTTATGGAAGTATCCTGTATCTATGAGCTCTCTGCCACTGAGCCTGATTACGCTCCTCAGGTTGACAGATGATCTGCTTTCTCTATTTCTGCTGCACTGATTGACACTTTTTATCCAAGAAGTCCAGACCTGAGGCTATAAACAAACTTGATAATATGATAAATTTGTAAGTCATGTTGTAAGAATAAAGATTATATTCACATTATGATGACAATCCTCATATTTTACTCATACTAGATCTATATTTTGATCGTTCATGTTCATAACTACAAATTACCAATATCTGTCTTAAATGAGTTAAATGAGAACATTCCCCTGTCCCCTGTTCCCTGAAAAATGCACACATGCACACATCAACAACACTATTTGGTTTTTGCTAGATTCCTTTTGCATGAATGAGTTCCCCAAATATCAAGTCAATCACCAACTTCCCATCCTTCCACTGAATACAGTCACCACTGTTGCAGTCCTCCATTATTGTTTTGCTGTGTTGGCCATGCTGGAAGATGATGATAACACACAAAAAAATTTGTTCTGAGCATTCTCTGTCATGTTTTTTGGCCAAATATTGGATATGCATCTGATCTAGGACCACATACAAATGTATCCTATGTCTGATTTGAAAAAATCTGATTTTTGTGTCACAAAAAATCGGATTTGTGTCACTTCAACCTAGTAACATGAATGTAACCAAAATGGCAGCACCAGTACCAAAATATCACTTGTTTTCAGTTATCATAGTTTTCTCAATTTTATTTTTTGGATGCGTAAATCCTGCAGACTGAATATACAGCTACTTCTTCGTCCTTACAAATGTCCCGTATTGGACACGAATGATTCCAGTTAGGGATTGACTTAATTAATTAATCATTTCTAATGACAGTGATTCAATAAGAAGTTTGTGTGTGTGCGCAGATGGTCACTGTAAGAGGTCACAGCTCCAGATGATCATCTCGAGAGGAAACACACAGACAGTCTCAGCATGTGCGCTGCTCAAACAAACACATTAGTGCCTTATAAAAAGGTTTATGAGTATAAATCATGCAGCTGGGGATATTTATTTCCTTTAGGTCAGCAGAGTTTGGAAACCTGCGATAAGTGTAATGACTTTTGAGTACAGTGTGCAAATTACATGTTTGAATCTAAAGAAACAAGAAAACGTAGACAGGTATTGGAAGCTCAGTTGAAGGTGTCCGAAGAAAACAGATGATTAGATACACACATTAGAACCTGACAATTATTGTTTTTGAGGAATTATTCTAAAAACCATAGCGATCCAAGTGTAAAAGATATAAATGAGGACAAATTAGGACATTATGCTGAACATTCATATTATAGTCATAGTGCTATGTATATAATTGTTTATCCATAAGTGCCATTTAGAGCAGCCTCACTGGTAGATATTAAATGTTGCACGCTTGATGTTTCATGCATGTCTGTTTGTGTACTTATAATGAATGTGTTAATGGTTGTTTAGTTTCAGCTATTAAAGGCAGTGATTGGGAATAATTAAAAAAAAAAAAAACACTTTCAAAAATAGCTTTTAGGTGACAGTGATATCACTGCAACTCCTATACTATATGTATATAGTAATACATATTAAGCCATTTGGGTTTGAGATCAAAATATGAATATGAGACAGTAGATCAGAATTTCAGCTTTCATTTCCTGATATTTACATCTAGATGTGTTCAGTTCCTGATATTTACATCTAGATGGCCAAAAATCTTGGAACATGTGACTGACAGGTGTGTCTTATTACCCAGATTAGATTGTTTAGATTGATCGTTTGGACAGTTAATGTTAATGTGCTCTTGGTTTGAACCCTGGGTTTCTCCTGTGAAGACTGCATCTGTTGTTAAAAAGGATAAACCAACATGAAGACCAGAGAGCTGTCTATGGGAGAAAAGCAAACCATTTTGAAGCAGACAAAAGAGGGAAAATTGATCAGAGCATTGGACATAGCCAATACACCAAGAAAAGTATATATATATATATATATATATATATATATATATATATATATATATATATATATATATATATATATATATATATATATATATATATATATATATATATATATATATATATATATATATATAATATTAATATACTATTAATCTAGCATTTTCCATCCTAACAGGTAAAAGGATTCAGGAATACAGGTTTATAAGACCTACTCATCTGTGAATGAGCTAGCTATATGAGACACAAATCAACCTGCTGAGTTAATTTCCCTAAATTTGAAATGCCATTTACGTCTCTGCACCAACCCAATTATACAATTATTAATACACTCAGTGTATGAAAGCTGAATATCAAGGCCTCAATTCTTCCCTTTAGCCTTTAGCTATACTGTTATCTTTTTCTCTGCAGATAAACACTGTATGAATGCAGTTAAACCTTTTTCTCACATCGCCATGCTTCAGTCAGCTTCAGATAGTTTATCTGCAGAGGATATTTCTACGGGGCGTTTTGTAATAATGTGAATGGCTGTTGGGTTTCAAAGAAATGGGGAGCCTCGTATATATTTTATTCGTAATAAATAAAACACGACAAAGCATGCTGTTATAGGAAAATAATCAATGATGGGGTGCTGTGATATAGCCCAGTGAGAAGTGGAGTTACAGTCACCATGCCAGAGTTGATTATTTTCCAATAACAGCAAATTTTTCTTTTACTACAGCACCATGCCAATGCAAGAGCAAAACATCATACTTTTAATCCATTTATTTATTAATTATATTATTAATTACAATTAATGTTGTGGAATGTCCATGAAAAAAGTTAGCTCCTGAAATATAGACATTCAATCCATCACCAGCCTCTCTTTTTTTCCTTGTGAAGTTAATAAAACAAAAAAAATTCAATGTGTGTAATTGTTGATATGAATTTTTTTTTTTTTTTTTTTGTAAGATGTTTACAGAAGAAGTCTCCTGTGTTAGCGCTTTGTAACAGCCAGAGATAAGGGTGTTTGTTTAAAGTTTACAGAAACAGTCTTCAGGACGGAGGGATTTGTGCTTTCCGTTTTCTCAGTAACATGACAAGCTGTGTTTTTTGGTTTGTCTTATTAACTTAAAAAGCTGAATAAGAGAGAGACTCATGAGGGAATGACTGTTTATAGCTGCCATAACATAAGAAGTATCAGGACCTAGCTTGTTTCAAGGACACTCCACAATATTAAGTGTGACTGTAAATGGATAAAAATTGTGATGCGTTGTTCATTACTAAAAAAAATTGTAATAATTAGCCCTATTCAGATGGAATTATCTCATCAGTATATTCCATCTGTATTACATCTAGCACGTTGTATTTTCTACGAACCCAGGCGTTTGTGTCACATGGTCATTTGATCACACTCCTTTCACCACATGGTGTCCAAGTGGTCGAAGAGGCACTGGACTAGAGAAGATACACTGGCTCTTATTTCAGTTTGGGGCATTTCAAGGTTCCAGCAACAATTTAAAAGACACAATTAATAACCACAGCATATCAAAAAGCATTCATTTTTCATTTTGCAATTCAGGAAGTTTTTAATATGTGGGAGAGGATCACTCATACACAGGCTACAAGCCTAAACACGGCAAAAGGCAGCAGTCAAACGTTTTTTTTTTTAAACAGGAAGCAACATCTGCATAAAAAAACTCATGGACATGTGGATTCAGATGGGACTAAAATGATCAGACAGCCACTGAGTTTAAAGAAACAGAGAAAAACTCAGACGTGGCCACTCTGTAAAATAAGAAATGACCCCTGCACCCCATGTACATTTAATCCTGTCTGGATAGGGCTTTAGGCACATTTCTGTAGCATAAGAACAATACGACACTTCAGAATGTGCTGTTATCGGAAAACACCACCAGCCTGTTGTTGATTACTTTCCTTTAACAGCATGCCCTGAAAACCTTTATTCCTTAACTAACACTCCCTGCATTAAACATTTGCTTGGGAACGTTATGCCGAAAGAGTCTTCACTTTCCTTTTATTTCTACACCTGTATATTTTTGATGTACCAGTAAATACAGACATAAAGATCACTGATGCAGTAATCAAGAAAACATGTAGGAAGAGCCTGGGGCAATTTTACGATTTGATGATTTCCAGCTATGCTAAAGCAGCTCAGGGAAAAGTGTGTTAGGATTGATGGAGATAATACCCTCATATTATCCTGCTTATCCTGGTTAAAGCTGATGTCTACAGTTGTTGTTGTTCCTCTTTCGGCTGCTCATGTTAGGGGTCGCCACAGCGGATCAGTGGTCCGCATATTTGATTTGGCACAGTTTTTATGCTGGATGCTCTTCCTGACACAACCCTCCCCAATTTTATCCAGGCTTGGGACTGGCACTGAGAGCACACTCTTGCATGCAATCCCCTTGGCCAGGAATCGAACCCGGGCCACAGCGGTGAGAGTGCTGTGGCCTAACCATTAAATCCAATCCAATAAAACATAATTAGTATCAGTTTATTCGTAGAGAATTACATTGTCTCATTTGTCCTTACGAAGCTAGAACGAAAGATTTATTAGTCTAGTGACATAAAAAATATATTAGAAATTTATGATTAAAGCATACAGCACTTTTATCAGCTCTATAGTTTTATGTCATGTCTAGGTACGTAATGTAATGAATTCCCATTAATGATCTAGAAGTGTAATAAATATAATTTTGTATAATTTCATGAAGGCACACATATGGCCTGCTGTATTTCCTGAGAAGAATCACTTTCAATGGTCCTTTGGTGAATTAATTGAGATCAATTTCCCTGACAGTAATAAAGGATTATCATAGTAATGTCTTGCATTATTAACTTTAGATGAGAAGAATAAAAAGACAGAAAAAGTGCACTGGGGAGGGTCAGGTGGCACATCGCAAGACTATACGTTCGACACGCAACTAGCCTAAGACTTTAAATGTTAAGAATTAAATTAAGTGCATTGTGGTGTTTTTTTGGGGGGCGGTATTAAGAATCGTCATGGCTAATAGGTTTTTTCATTGTTGATTTTTTGTTATAATTTTTGTTCTATATTTTTGGGTCATTATTATTTTCCTCCATTGCTGATTAAGTAATAATAAAAATTATTATTTTTAAAAATATTAATATAGCAGACATCTCTACATGGCTGTTTTCAAACGCACTGCAATCAGTGACATGCTATTTTGAAGCCACTATTTGGAAGCCATTTTTGTTTTAATATATATCAAGGGAAGCAGAGAATGTGTACTTACTGGAAACATACGATAAGCGTGTGGGTAAATTTCCAAAATCTCTGGGTTATGAGTTTAGCATTGACTAAATATTCCAGCTTCAGATCATAAACACTGCAAAACAACACCACGTCTGAGTTTTCCAGACAAAGTATAAGACTAATTATGTGTTAAATAATTCTTTTACAAGTGATTTAGTACAGCATGTCTGTATATTATCATACTGTATATTATTTCCAGAGTCAAAATAATGTACACCCAGAGGCTATACAAGTGAGAGGAACAAATAAGAAGTACAATGAGACGAGATGATGAATTACTACAATTCTGCATTGCAGGACCAGAAATGATGAAGAAGACATTTTATTAGACTTGCCAACCTTTACACAGAGTATGCTAAAAAATATGGCAAAAGTGCAGTGGAAAACAAAAAAGGCAGATGATCCAATCGACATATGAATCTGGAAACAGTGACAGTTGCGTAGGCATCACTGGAAGCCCCGCCCCCTTCCCCCATCTCACTTTAGTAATCTTTTGACTGGTGCTCTTGTCTCAACTCGATTTTTATGCTTGAAATCCAGGGATTAGAAATGATTTATTTTTCATTTTGGTTCGTTCCGAACAGGAGCGATATTTTTACGTTCCTACTCAAGAGTTCCACGCCCCCCCCTATACATATTATAGCCTACTCTACTTATAGAGTGTATATATACACACACACAGTACTGTGCAAAAGTCTTAGGCACCCCTTTTTTTTCTTTTTTTTTAGTACAAACATTATTATAGATTTATGACTTCTACATTACTGATTCAGTACAAAAACATTTTAGATTCCAAACATTAGTTTTCCAGCACAAAATTAAATGTTACAGAAAAATGTTTGTATGTCAGTAAAGAAAGCAGCATATTACATAAGAGACCACTTTTCAGACATAAAAACATAATGAAGGCTGCTGGGTTTTGCTGCAAAAATAAGAAGCAAGTGAGACAGTCAAAGTCTCCAGAAGAACTGTGGCTGGTTCTGCAAGATGCTCAGTAAAACTTACAGCTCATTTCCTTATAAAACTGCACACACTGTACCTGAGACTACTATTTTTTTTAAAGTGAAGGATCGTCACACCAAATATTGACTTTGTTTCATTTATTACTGTTCACTGCTCTTTATAGTATTTTTTTAATGTAGAAACATTTAGTTTCATTATTTTTGAAGGCATCTTTGCTCTACAGCATTTCTTTGCATGTGCCTAAGACTTTTGTACAGTACTGTATATATATATTGTATGAAACAATTTAGGTTAATTTTGTTCGCCTTTTTCAATGTATTCTTTTTCATTTTTGTTCCCTGTAATCTTCCTTAAGCCCTCACTTTCACATGAAATAAAATCTATCAGTGTATCTTCCACTTAGGGTCCTTGGAGGACTAGTGGTTAGGCCTTGGCGCTCTCACAGGTTTGGTTCCCGGCCAGGGAACCAACCCCAGCCACTGGGGTTGCACACAAGAGATTTATTAAAGATCTATTAAAAATCTATTAAAGATCTGTTAAAAAAAAAAAAAAAAAAATCCCCAGGGTTGGCTGAATTATAGACATCAGATATACAGTTAAGATAATACTTGATAATTTATTATACACCAAATTTTGTCCAATTTATCCAAAAATAAGGCAGAATATTATCCAGGAATAAAACTGAGTAGTTGAAGCCCAGCAGTGTTTCTCAAGCAGTCCTGGGAATTGAACTCAGAACCTTCACAAGAGACCATTCAGCACTGCAGAAATGACTGGAAAGAAACAGTAAAGTTTCTTTCATTATATTAGATGTGAGTCGATTATATGTTAATAAAGTATGTCAGTAGAAACCTCCTACAGTGTACATGATAACAGAACTGTAATTTCAGTGAGGGAAAGTCAGCGTTCTTTCATTATGAAATTAAAGCTTTGAGCAATAAGCTGAATCTATAGAATTATTCCACACCTCCTTTTATTCCACTTAGGCCAACCTGTGAATTATATGCTTTTTTTTTTTCACTCTTTCACAATACAATGTATTATTCATTTTCTCTGTGGTGTGAAATCATTCCTTTTGCAGAAGTTTTACCACAATGACTGTGATTTTTTTCCCCTGATTACCCAGTCTATGTTCTTGGTTGTACAGACTTTTTCAGCTCTGATTCTTGGAAAAATATTCATAATAAAGCGTGCGTGTACTCCCTCGCAAGCTCCAGCCTCAGGCTCCACTCTCAGAACTCAATGTCTCGCTGTTTAAAATCCCTCGCTTTATTTTCCTAAATGACTCCCACTGGTTCTGTGATAGAGCAATCAGAGGTAACATTGATCACATTTATCAACATCTTCTTTTCTGACTGGTTAGAGACAGAATATGAGAAGAGAAATGACATGCACAGGGAGAGGAAGGAGATTTTATTGCAGTTTGGCCATGCTATTTACATCAGTGGATGTTTGGTTGAACTACTGGTTGGCTGACTGGATGATCTAAAGTACAGGGAGTACTCCAGGACCAAGTTTAAGAACCTAGCTGCATTTTTTTTTTGTTTTTGCATACAGGACCACGCTCATGTGTGTAAAAACCACAGCAACATGGCTGATCCTGATATACCATACGGACACTCACACTGCCAGTGCCACATGCACTACCATGCCGATATAAAAAAAAAATTAAAAACTAATATAGTTCACATTACATTTCTCAAACAAGACATTCTTCCTAGGGATCTGTTAATATCAGAGAGCTGAAAACACCTACGCAACTGTCAATCATTTCGAATCGCCAAGGTAAACAGAAAATGTGTGTGTTTGTGGTACTGTAATATATGTGAAATAAAGTCTATCGATGCCTAGTCGACATTGAACAAGTATATAATTAACATCCACTAACTGTATTTATTAGGCATACACCAGACATTGAAAATGTAAATAAATAAATAAATAAATAAATAAATAAATAAATAAATAAATGTCAAGCTTATGTTAATGTATTTTTATTGATTTTCTTTGACAGCAGCATTACAGAGGAGCATAATGGAGCATTTAAAACACTGAATGGCTTATTCACAGTTTTCTCTTACTGACAGACAGATAGACAGACAGACACACACACACACGCACACACACATGCACACACACGTTTTACTTTCTACATCTATCTCACACTGTTCTGGCTTTTTCTCTTACACACTTTTTTTTTTTTTTAACCGCACAAAAGATAATCCAAAGCAAAAAACCTAACACTCCCCAGTGTTTGTGAAATCCTGTACAGTTGATCAATTTTTCTAAAAGTGGTCCATTCTTATTGTTCCTCGATTTGTCTTTTCCTTCATTTACGTCTCTTCAACACACTTTATGTGAACAGAGCGGATCAACATACAAATGCAGACAAAACACACGAGTAATAGTACTTTCTCTTAGTTCCTCACACACACACACACACACCACTAGCACCACATCTCTTGAATGTCCCCAGGCTCCTCTATTTTTTCCAACACACTCCTGCTTTTCTTCTATCTGCAGATGCTGGGTGTGAAAAGCAGAAACAGAGAGTGGAACCTTGTCACAACCCTTTTTTTTTTTCTCCTCCCAACACACATTCCAAAGTCTGTAAAATAGCTGTTATTTTCACACCCTGCTCCTGTGTCGCTTGCTGTTCTTCCAATGACGATGGCTTTTGTGCTTTTTCTTTTAAAGTAAAACAAGGAAGGAAAAACAAGGAGGTGAGATGGAGCAGAAAGAGCAGAGAAGAGCCTCTGACAGCGAGCCATCCATCACATAAATGAGATTTACCCTGCATTATATACACAGTCAGTGATGAGGCAAGGCTACATCCCTAAAACATCCCTAAACACTGAGCAGATCTCAAACTTTTTGTATCCAGAGACCCATTTAATGATAAAATAAATTCCAAAAATAAAACAGTCTTATTTCATGAACATTAAATATGTTCAATAATAATAATAATCATAGTTTACACTTTACAGTCCATGTTCTGAGTGTTTTCTGTCCTGCACTCATCTCACACTGTTGTGTATTAGCACTGTATATAGTCTTGCGTACTGTTATGTGTTGCATCATGGTCCTGGAGAAACACCAATTCATTCCAATGTATACAAGCTATATAGTGGAATGACAATAAAAACCCACTTGACTTGACTTGACTTTGTTTTTGATCTATTTATTAGAGGCTTGATTTCGATTTTGTCAGTGTTTTCACATGTTCTGATTCTAAA